GGGGGGGAGGTGGAAGCCATGTGCCTCTTGGGCACCGCGGACCCAGATGTAAGCCGGCTGTACGCAGGGCTGTCTGGAATACTCCGCAGTTCCCAGTTGAGGGAGCTCTCTGGGTTAGCAGGCATTACCTGGAGCAGGTTCTTAGGAGGGCAGGTGGCGGGGACATGGTGGGGTGAGGTGAGATCTCTGTTGTAGGAGCCCGGCCGGGCGTCTGGGGTCTCACCGAAAAGAAAGCGGGTGTGTTGGTTGCTCTCTGTCCGATTATTTTTAGCTTGTGATCAGTTACCGGTTTTCTGCGCTGTTGACGAGTGTGAAGTTTGAATCGCTCCTTACCGGGTCTAGAGAACTTTTGAGTTAGGCAGATTATTGGAATTTTTTGAGTGGGGAAGGGATTGGGGGATTAGGGGAGGGGCAGTAGCCTAGTAAGGAGAGGCAGAGGGGAGGGAAGGGACTTCTCCCCTGGGGTGGACCTAATCCTGGCTTCTTTCCTAGAGGCTTGGGTCACTCTGAGGGAGTTCGGGGTCTGGGTTGGTGGTGTGAGGTGTTTGTGTGGGTGTGTTAGGGTTTGCACTCGGAGTGTTTTGGGGTGGCTGCCTTGACTGGCTAAACCCGTAGAGTTATAACCAGCCTGCCTGAGTGCTTGTCCTCAGGTGACGGTTGATGTCACGCTTATTAGTGGATATCTTCTCTTGTCTCCTTATTCAGAGCCCCTTCTTAATACACCTGTTGGTTTATTTGACTCTCGTTCACTTAAAAAATTAAAATTTAAATGAATAAAAGCCAGCCCCTCCCCACCAGCACCAGTTCTTTATGCCCCCACCCCACCCCCTTCTGGAGCCTGGTGGTCCCGGGGCTTTTTGGTTGTTGTTGTTTTTGTTTTTCTATTTTTTTCGAGACAGGTTTTCTCTGTGTAACTGAGCCTGGTGTCTGTTTTGTAGAGTAGGCTGGCCTCGAACTCACAGAGATCCTTCTGCCTCTGCCTCCGCCTCCCTAGTGCTGGGCTTAAAGGCATTCACCACCACCACCACCACCACCACCACCACCACCACCACCACCACCACCACCACCACGGCCTGGCCTGTATTTGTTTTTTATGACATAGTTTTCACTTCTGCCTTTTCCTTAGATCCAACTCAATTTTGAGGTATCCAGAATAAATGCTTTTCAAATTTGCCCCTCCCCCCCCCTGCTTTTTGAGACAGGTTTCTCTGTGTGATTTTGGTGCCTGTATCTCCCTCTGTAGACCAGGCTGGCCTCGAACTCACAGAGATCCGCCTACCTCTGCCTCCCAAGTGCTGGGATTAAAGGTGTGTGACACCACCTGGCTTTTTTTTTTTTTTTTTTTGGTTTTTCGAGACAAGGTTTCTCTGTGTATCCTTGGCCTTGGCTGTCCTGGAATTCATTCTGTAGATCACACTGGCCTCCAACTCACAGAGATTAGCCTGCTTCTGCTTCATTGGGATTAAAGGTGTGTGCCACCACTGCCCAGCAAATTTGACATTTTCTAACCTAGAATTTTTCACTTCAGTCCGAGACCATTTAAGAGAACTGATATTCTTGATATCTTTGGCCACAGGAGTGAGGGACTTAGATTTGCATCTCATCATCTAGGTGTAAGGCTGCAGGTTTCTGTGCCTTGATGGGGTGGTGGTGGGAAGGAGGAAGGCTTACTTTTCCTTCACACTCTTTGTGAGGGCAGGATGAGCAGTGCTGTCCCCCAGTTTTGGCCTCATCTTAGCCTTCTGGTAGCCCGCTGGTCTAGGGCTTCCCTCCCGAGTTGAGTGTGAGCTATTCAGGCTCAGTGTGAACTCTGCCCCAATATGTAGCATGACCCAGTTTTTCCGCGGACACACCCAATCTGCCCCTTTCCCAAATCTCCCTCTATCTCATGCAGTGGTTGCTTGCCATTCAGCATGTGATTTGCCCGAGGAGTTTAAGGGTTGTATGTGATATCTTCTCTGCCTCCATGGACTTGTCTTTATCTCTGCTCTATAGGCAGAGATGAAGAAGGGACATGTAGCTGATTAAGGGGTGGTCTAGGGGTTATGGGGGCGAAGCCCTTAAGAAAATGGTTGTTTGGGGATGAGAGGGGCCTCCTAACCTCTGACTTGATCCTGGGAAGTGTGAAAATGGGAGGCCTGTGGTGCTTTGTGTACCGCCTTAGGATCTGTCTAACTTCAGAAGGGCAGAACTAGAGTTATTCATTCTAGGGCTGCTTCTGGGGCTCAAGAGCTAAGAGTGTGTGTGGAATTGAAGAGAACATGTTGTTTGCCACTGTTCTCTTGGTCTTGCTCCTTTTGTGGAGTCTCGGCATGACTTCTATATGTTGGATAATATTCTTGTTGGATGATGAGGGAGCTGAGCTTCCAGACTGGTTGTGGGCTCCAATCCTCAAGCTAAAGCTTTTGGAGACCTTCATGGGAAGAAGGTCATAGGGTTGATAACCTCCACTGAGCCCTTGTTAAATCGTAGTTGTAATGTCTTAGAAAATTATGATTGAGTGAGTAATGCAGTCTTTCAAATAGTGTCACTCTTCATGCTGTCTTGGTTTGCTTGCCTGGCACATCAGGGTGACCTCTTACAAACCGTGTCATCCTTGAGTAGGTATAGAGATCATTAGCTGTGGACCTGGGGCCAGGTAGTCATTTGGGAAGTTTTCTTTGAGGGTACTCTTTGCTCTGTGTACTTCTGTCGGCTCCACCCCCAGCCCGCCACTTCCTGTCTGTCCTATGTTGGCACTGGGTGCCCTGGGCTGGCTTCTGCGGTCAGGAGCCATTTTCCTTCTCTTCAGTGGGTGAGGCACTCCCTTCTCTCTCCTCCCTTTCCTACTCCCCCCTTCTTGGGCGGGGGTGGCTTGGGAAGAGAGCGAGAAGGGGGAGGAGGGAACTGGGAGCTGGTGTACATGTCTGGTACAAAGAAAGCTCCCTGGCAGCCTTCTCCCTCTGTGCCCCTTTCTACCTATCCTTGCCCAGGATCTCCAGTGTTACCCAGGCTTTGTGTGTTCTTCTAGCCAGGGAAGGAGGTGGAGCCAGATGGGAGGGGGGTTGGGAAGGGGAGATGGTGACAGCTGGGCTGATTCCGGGCCCCTAGGGAGAGGAGTCGCCTGACCCAGGAGAAAGCTGGGAAGAAACAGTAGGACTGGAGATGGAGAAAGGAGACTGGGAATGGGTGTGAAGTTGAACTGGAAACTCTGGTGGTTTTGAACAGTGATAATCCCGAAGGGCTTTGATACGGGTGTGATTTCTTAGACCCTGAACCTGGTATTTGATCTGGGGTGGTGGGGTGAGGATGGAGTTTGTGTTAAGTGCCTTCTGGTTATGCTTCCCTCACCCCTGTCCTATGGGCTGTGTGGCCACTTGAGGGAGACCTGGATCCAGTTCCCTTGCTTGCTGAGTTCCAGGCAGCTCCATTGAGCAGTGTGGTGAACACAGAAGGTGGCTGGAGTGATGAGGAGAGAGCTAGGGCCTGGACAGCTGCCCGAGGTGGGCCTGCTCTAGCCTGGCAGGCCTGTGTCGGGGGTCTATAGTTCTCTTTGTCTGTGTCCTGGGCATCCGCTCCCTTCTGTGTGCTTACTGTAACAGTTCTTTCTCTTGGGGGGAATCTGGGACGAGAGGTGGGAGAGACAGTCTAACCCTCTGGATTAGGTCCTCACCTTTGCCAAATGTGTGTAGACAATGAAGAAGACCCAGAGGAGGATTTATCAGAAGCGGAGACTCCAAAGCTCAAGAAGAAAAAAAAGCCTAAGAAACCTCGAGACCCTAAAATCCCTAAGAGCAAGCGCCAAAAAAAGGAGGTGAGTGGGTGACTGAATGTTCTGGGGAGTGAGAGGAAGAAGGAGGTGCTCCAAGAATGGTTGTGGGCCTGAGGGTATTTTTCCTTCTGGAGCCGGGGGTCAGGTCCTGGGATGGGCTCAGGACTGTCCTGAGGTCAGCATGTGTGTAGCATGTGTGTCGTCTCCCTCTCCCCTTCCCTGCTCCAGCGTTTACTCTTGTGCCGGCAGCTGGGGGACAGCTCTGGGGAGGGGCCCGAGTTTGTGGAGGAGGAGGAAGAGGTCGCTCTGCGGTCAGACAGCGAAGGTAGCGACTATACTCCTGGCAAGAAGAAGAAGAAGAAGCTCGGACCTAAGAAAGAGAAGAAGAGCAAGTCCAAGCGGAAGGAGGAGGAAGAGGAGGAGGAGGATGACGATGACTCCAAGGTGCCTAGACCTCTGTCTTGTCCCCTTTCTTGCTAGAGCCTGCCCCTGGTTCTCAGATACATTCCTGCCCTCTAGAACACCATCTATCTCTCCGTAGAGTTTCGAGTACTTCCTCTAGTTCTCCTGTACCCAGCACTTGCAAGCCATAGTTTCAGCTTGCACTCTCTTAGCAAGTGTGGGCAGGAGGAGGCAGATTCTTCTTGACTGTGTTCTCTCTGCAGGAACCGAAATCATCTGCCCAGCTTTTGGAAGACTGGGGCATGGAAGACATTGACCATGTGTTCTCAGAGGAAGATTACCGTACCCTCACCAACTACAAGGCTTTCAGCCAGTTTGTCCGGTAAATCAGGAGGATCTTGGGGAGTGGAAAGGGAGGAGACTCCTTCTAGAATTTCTTCTTGTTTCCTTTTCTCTTTTATACGTGGCCATCTTTCTTATTCTTGTCCTTTTCTCTACCAGACCCCTAATTGCTGCTAAAAACCCCAAGATTGCTGTCTCCAAGATGATGATGGTCTTGGGTGCAAAGTGGAGGGAATTCAGTACCAACAACCCCTTCAAGGGCAGCTCTGGAGCTTCGGTGGCGGCTGCAGCTGCAGCGGCTGTGGCTGTGGTGGAGAGCATGGTGACAGCTACTGAAGTCGCACCGCCCCCTCCCCCTGTGGAGGTGCCTATCCGCAAGGCCAAGACCAAGGAGGGCAAAGGTGAATGGAGTTGAATGAAGAGTCCAGGGTGGGCTTGGGAAGTCTAAAGACAGCATAGGCATGCTGGATCACCCCAAGGGAGGTGGCAGGAGGGGGGCAGGGGTGAGCCTCAGATTCAGAAGGCAAGGCAGAGTTGAGCAAGCTTAGGTGAAGAAAGACTTCGTTCTCCCATCACTGGCCTTGTGATGGACATTTGGCTGTATCCTGACTTTAGGTCCCAATGCTCGGAGGAAGCCCAAAGGCAGCCCTCGAGTGCCTGATGCCAAGAAGCCTAAACCCAAGAAAGTAGCTCCTCTGAAAATCAAGCTGGGAGGTTTCGGCTCCAAGCGTAAGAGATCCTCGGTGAGAGCCTGGTTCATCCCACTGGGGGGAGAGGGAGCTGTGTGGTGGAGAAGGATGTTGCTTTCTGTCAGGTACATAAGAATGTGGGGTATTATTACTCAGGCTGGTGTGACCAGGCTTCCTCTGTGCAATTCTTGCTGGGGTTCTTTACCATTCTTTCCTTGGCCTGGGCTTTTAACCTTGTTCTTTTCTCATTTTTTTCAGAGTGAGGATGATGACTTAGATGTAGAATCTGACTTCGATGATGCCAGCATCAATAGCTACTCTGTTTCGGATGGTTCTACCAGCCGCAGTAGTCGGAGCCGCAAGAAACTCCGGACCACTAAAAAGAAAAAGAAAGGTGTGTTTCTTTTCTGTACTTAGGGGATGGGACAAGGTGGGAATGGCCAGGGAGAATCTCCCTTAGGAGATAAGGGTGGGGGAGGAGGTTTTGTTCTAATAATTGGGCTTTCCCTCTTCCTTGCCCAGGCGAGGAGGAGGTGACTGCTGTGGATGGTTATGAGACAGACCACCAGGACTATTGTGAGGTGTGCCAGCAAGGCGGTGAGATCATCCTGTGTGACACCTGCCCCCGAGCCTACCATATGGTGTGCCTGGACCCAGACATGGAGAAGGCCCCCGAGGGCAAGTGGAGCTGCCCACACTGTGTGAGTACCTGGCTACTGGCACCCCTGGGAAGGTACCCCTAAGGGCAAGGGTGGGGTGATGAGTTTCTTTGGGCCTGGGTGGAAATAGAAATGGCAATGTCCTTGGCTGTCAGCTTTGAGAAACATCTAAAGGCACCATGGCAGTAGGTTCTGGCTTGGGGTGGGGGTGGGTGGTAATAATCTGATCTCCGGTTCTTTATTTCAGGAGAAGGAGGGCATCCAGTGGGAGGCTAAAGAAGACAATTCTGAGGGTGAGGAGATTCTTGAAGAGGTTGGGGGTGACCCAGAAGAGGAAGATGACCACCATATGGAGTTCTGTCGAGTCTGCAAAGATGGCGGGGAGCTGCTATGCTGTGACACCTGCCCTTCTTCATACCATATCCACTGCCTGAACCCCCCGCTGCCAGAGATCCCAAATGGCGAATGGCTCTGTCCCCGTTGTACTGTAAGTGACTTGAGTGAGGGTGGGAGATGGGCGCAGTATCTCATAATAGCACAGGGTTTGCTCTCGTGTAGGCATTGTGAGGCTGGGGAAGGGTCACAGGAGACCTACACATTGTCTAGCTGAGACAGGAATTTCTTTTTTTTCTCAATTAGTCTTGGGACACCATCTCCTGTGTAAACATAGAATTAACTGAATAGAGGAGGTAGTGTCCTGGCAGTCCTGTTCTAGTTCAGTCATTCCTCTTTCTTTCTTCTTTCTTTCTTTCTTTCTTTCTTTCTTTCTTTCTTTCTTTCTTTCTTTCTTTCTTTCTTTCTTTCTT